ATTGGCGACTATATATCTCTGTATTGTATGGTATTTCAGGTGATGTGCTGCCGGTGGGCCCTCCGACATTGATGATGTCACCTCAGGCGGCATATCCAGGGACGGTCTCGCTGGAGCTTGTAAAAAAGAGGGACGACAAGTACAACTTGTCGAGCGAAACCATGAAAGTATCTCGGGTCGAGATTGCCGAGCCCGAGTGGATCAACCCTCAGGCGGACTACTGGAAACAGCACGGCAAGGGCTTTAAGGTCGATTTCGAGAATGCTGAGATGAAGAAAATGACTCCTTTTCCTTGAAGAGGAGGAGGAAATTAAGTGGTTTGTATAAGGACATTTTGGGCTTTAAAGTTCGTGTGTTCATGTGTATTTATAGTTAAAAAGGATTATGGTGTGTTGTTTGCAGATATTTTGTGGTTTGTGTGTGTTTTTATTATGGAGCTCATGAAAGATGTAATGATATGTATTTGTGTGTGTGTATTGTGAAATGTATGTGTTTATATTGTGTTATTTGTAGTTTCTTCATTTTGGAAAGTACTAATTTAGAAGTATGATTTTTAGTTTAAAACTTTATGAAGAGTACTCTAATTGCTTGTAATTACAAGGTTAAAACTTTATGTAGAATACTCTTAAACTGGTTATAAGACAAGGTTAACAAGGTTAAAATTTGATTGCTTGTAATTACAAGGTTAAAACTTTATGTAGAATACTCTTAAACTGGTTATAAGACAAGGTTAACAAGGTTAAAATTTGATGTAGAATATTCTAAACTTTGTGTTTGGTAGACAAATAAGCTAAGTTTATTAATTTAGTTTATAAGCTTTTTGTATTAGTTTAGTTTATAAGCTTTCTGTATTCAATTAAGTCTCGACGAGGTTTTTTAAGAAATTCGAGTTTATTTGCTAAGCTTTTAGGTAGATTTCTAAATAAGTTAGTTGTATTTTTTATTCCAGCTAGTTTATTAGCTAATTTTACCAAACATTTTTATCATATCAGTAACTCATAAGCTATAAGCTAAAAATTACCGATAAGTTATAAGGTAGCTTTTTTTTTTTAACCAAATATAGCCTAAATAATTATAGAGTTAAATTTTGTAAATTGTGTCCTATAAGATGATTATGAAATAAGTGGTCATGATTATGTAAGCTACTTATATAGGTTTAACTAGAGTGACATACTGAATATAGCAATTTAGTAGAGTTCAATTTAGGTTCAACTCGAGTTAATATGGTAGCAATTTAGTTCAATATCATTTTTATGGTAGCAATTTTGTTCAATATCATTTTAATTAAGGCAGCAATTCAGTTCAAAGTCCTGCAATTTATAAGTCATTTAATTTAAAATTTTGTTGTAATTTTGGTTATTTGATCATCAAAAATTTTAATTAATAAAATTTCATTGCAGTTCTAGTCATTTCAGACATTGAAATTTTATTTTGACTGGAAATTGCACATTAAAGAACTTAAACTGCAATATGCAATATGTCACTCTAATGAGACTTAAAATACTATCTTCATATTGTAATAGCGTCAAAATTGTGTTTAAGCTTAATTACATTATGTCATTGCTTGCATGTCGTGCCGAGCAAAAATACTATTATGTAATTGCTGTTTATATTATTGGAAATGTTACCATCCCGTCAATTCTGTTGAGATTTGAACCGTTAGATCATTATGTAATCGTCGTGAATAATTGATCAAATGATTACAAACTCAACGGAGTAGTTCGGTGATGGTGAGAGATGATTTCAAGAACTATTTCAGAGCTGAAGTGAGAAATGGCAGGAACCTAAGAGTTTGGATTCAGCGAGAAATGGCAGGAACCTAAGGGTTTGGAAGGATCCTTGGAAATTAGAGCTAAATGAATTTGGAAATTAGCACCTGTGGAGTGGGCTGAAATGACAGAGGCTCAATCCTTTAAACATTGGTGGTGGAATGTGTGTTCGGTGAAGAGGACAGAAACTGCTGAGTCTAGGATTGAACTAACCACTTATATTCTATGGTGGTTATGGAAATCACGGAATTTGTGAAAGTTCCAAGCAACTTGGATGCCAGAAATGACAGTTGTGAGGGCAGCTCAAGGAGACTGGTTTGAGTTCAAAAATGTCAGGGCTTCGAAAGAGATCTAATGCAGATTATGGAGGGTGCTAGGTCCCCAGGTTTAGTTGTGGCTGTCTATATCTGTGTCTTTGAAGTTTCTTGTCGATGCTTGGAATCTTTGTGTTGGTTTTTGTCTTGATTATTTTGTAGCATGTCTTAGCTTTGGTATTCAGTGGTATCTGCCTTAGCTGGTATTTGTGCAGTATTGGTTTATTATTGCTTTGAGTCTAGACCATGTAGTAGGATTATGGTCTCTTGTATTTTTCAGTTTGAACTATTTGGGCTATTCAGCCTATCTGTATGTAATACTTTTTGTGTTGAATGAAATTTCCTATCGTTTTGAAAAAAAAAAAAACGGAGTAGTTCGGTATGGAGACGTAAAATCTCCTTTATATTATTATTACAGTTAAGATAAACAAGATTTTGCATTGCTTGAGCGGACTAACCGGACTTTGTCAATCCAAGTATTCTCTGTGAAGTGTAGAAAAGGTCCAATAAAAATTAAATAATCTTTTCCCGTGTTTGCAAGTTGCCAAGTGGACTTTCCTATTTTCTGTATTTTTTTTATCTTTTGTATTTTTAAAATTAATAATTTCTTGAGCTATTTAAACTATATTCTTATATTGTCAACTCATTTTTCACTTAGAATATTTTTTTATTCAACTTAAAATAATTTTGATTTTTTTATTTAAATTTCCCATCTACAGAAAAACTATAATCGCTAAAATGTGTTAACTATAAGGAAATGCTACAATCCTGTTACGAAGCTATTCTTTCTTAATTTATAACAGTTAGATTATTATGTAATGTCGTGGATAGTTATATAACGGTTACCAACCCGATGCAATGGTTTCGTAACGAGACTTTAGAATTTCTGATAAGAGTGTCTTCACAACGACGCTTTAGCCATTTACGCGCTTTTCTCCTCCTTTGTGACATCACTGTTCTTTCTATTCAACTTTGTGTCGCCATTGAATCTTAGCTTTATTTTTCCGCATTTTTTGGGTCATCTCAATTTCCCTCTGGAGATCGTCCCCACAATCTAGCTTTCGACCTGGTCGCGAATTTGTTCTGGGATTTTCAACTCGTAGCCTTTCGAGAATCTAGCGTTTCAACTCATTTTCTTGATTGGTGCTCGAGTCTTCCGGATTATTATCGATTGTTACAGGGTTTTGATTTTCCCCCCTTTGATTTTAGCCCTTCAATTTGAATTCTCGTTTCGCCATAACTGAATCAAGAATCTGGGTTGGAAGAAATCCGGGTTCTTGATTCTCAAGAGTTTTTTTTCTTCAAGACATTGCGTGCACAATCGTTGGCAATTTTGAGAAGCTATTTGAAAAAATTTCCATGGAATACGAAAAACCCTTAAGTTCTACTCTGTGGAAGCAGTCTTCAATGGCGCCCCACAAGGAATACGAGGACCTTGACGACCTGGATGGAGAACACGAAGAGGATGACGTCATCGACATCGACCCAGGGTTGAAGCTGATGTATCTGGTCAATGCGGGTGATTCTGACGGCATCAAAGAGCTTTTGGCTTCCGGTGGTGATGTCAATTTCCGGGATATCGATCACCGGACTGCGCTCCACGTGGCCGCCTGCCAGGGATATGATGACGTGGTGCAGCTCTTGCTCGACCATGGAGCTGAGGTGGATTCGAGAGATCGGTGGGGAAGCACGGTATATAACCTAAATCTTGATAAAGTAGCTGTCTGTAATCAGTTGTTGTAGTTCACCTTACCTTCTGTTTACTTGTTTTGTTTCATAAAGATGGGTGGTTATTTTGTATTTGAACAAGAAGCTGTTTTCTGAATGCTTTACTAGTATCTCTTGATGATTTACGCTGTTCGATTAATTTCGATCCCAAATGTAGAAGCTGGTTCTATTTTCTTGCTGTGTGATATGTTTTTTTTTTTTTTCCTTATATAGCCTCTTGCAGATGCCTTGCATTATAAAAATCGCGGTGTGATCAAATTGTTGGAGAAATATGGTGCGAAGCATTTGGTATGTCTTTCGTTTTCCCATAGATTAAACTCTCTTCTTTATGTTATTTCTCGTATTCTACTTGGAGGGTTTTAAATCTGAATGGTTTTGTTTCTCGTTAGATGGCTCCTATGCATGTCCAAAACGCTCGTCAAGTACCTGAGTACGAAATTGATCCAGAAGAGCTTGATTTTACCAACAGTGTTGAGATCTCCAAGGTAACTTACAGTAGATTATATGTTAATGCCGAGTCTAGTCGTCACTAGTTATTTTCACCGAATCAAATTTTGTGTGTTAAGTATAGTTTTTGAGGGATGTGAGAATGATCCATTGAATTGTCTTGTAATGATAAGCAGATCAAGAGAAGCATATAGATTTGCGATTCACACCGGTGATGGTGTATCTCATACGTGAACTGTATAAAAAGTGGCTGAAATTATTTTATCACTCTAAAGATCATTCATCATTGCCAATTATATCTTCCCGAACTTATGTATGGTTTTCATAGTTAATGCAATTAAATATTTTTGTTGATGTTGGGCGATTATTATTTAACAGGGAACCTATAGAGTTGCTTTGTGGCGTGGAACTCAAGTTGCAGTGAAAATATTCTGGGAAGGAATTGCTGATGAGGATAAAGTGTGAGTCTTGTATATATGTGACATTGTATTGTTTACAAAATTTTTGCTGTCTAACATATCCGATTTTTGCAGGAATTCGTTCCGGGACGAGCTTTCTTTGCTTCAGAAGATAAGACATCCAAATGTTGTTCAATTTCTTGGTGCTGTAACTCAAAGCAGTCCAATGATGATCGTTACAGAGTATTTACCAAAGGTATGCATTCTTAAGGAAGCTGTTCTGTTTATAAATACTTATATAATACCATTGCATGCTACATAGCAGATAGTTCTGCTTGATTTATGGATCTGTTCCTTTTCTAGAAAGTAGCGTACTGTATTAGTTTCTGATAAGTGGTATTATAATGTTTCATGCGCATAAAGGGCGATCTTCGTGAATATTTGAAGACAAAAGGTGCACTTAAACCAGCAACAGCTCTAAGATTCGCAATGGATATTGCCAGGTTCGTCATATTTGCAATGGAAGAAAAGTTTACTTTCTTGTTTGATTCTTACACTCAAGAGAAAGTAGGCCATAATTTGAAATAGCCAACATATTGTGTTTGTGATTTACGTTAGTTTAGCAATTAATCTGTTACTTGTTTACTGAAATTTATCTCGAAAATTGAGTTTTTTTTTTTTTCTTTTT